GTTGGAATGGTGTCCTTTGTTGAGTGAAGCGTAGCCCATCGATACGACGTCGCATCATCAACAATTGAACAGTAGTACCTAATCTGTCCAAGTGTACCATACATTCCAGCTTGTTTAAGGGGGCCACAAGTGTCCATGTGAAGTGAACCAAGCGGGTCGGGGTGCCTACTGCCAATCAACCCTTTGTAGGACATTCGACGATGCTTTGCGCGGACACATGTCCTGCAGAAAATACGAAATCCACGTAAACACTCAGGGTGAATACGAGGGGCACCATTGACAGTACCCTTAGTCAACATCGAAATCAACGTCACAGTATTGACATGTCCTAAACGAATATGCCATTCTCTGATTAACTCTATGGCTCGTTGTTTTTTATGGATAACTGTGACTGGTACGGGGGACCGCATTACTTAAGCGCATCGAATTTGACGTTCGATATCAGTCCAATTTTTGACATAGTAAGCACCATTTATCGAGGTGCCGATGAACTGAAGCTTGCAGTTTGAAAATACATACTTGTACATTGCACAGGCACTATCAACGATATGGTAACCAGAACGCTTCAGAGCATTTTCACTCAGGATATTTGCCGTTGCGCCTGGCACGAAGGCAATACTTTGAAATATATACTGGACTACACCATTTGGAGACTCAAGCCACAACTTCGCAACTCCCATGTGTGTATTAACGAGTTTATTCCCACCAGCAAATGCAAATTTGAATCCAGAATGCATTATAAGTTGGTTAGAAAACTAACGACACCGGTCATGTGGTGACCGCAACCACCATCGAGTGCCCATTCACGACTACTCATTTCACGACGAGTTATTATATTCGGACACTGTAATCTTAATACCTGGTCCATCTTTGCGGACAGATCACGCATGGATGCCGCCATCGTCTCAACACGAGGAGTGGACGTCGTGTCCACAGCCAACGCGAGAGAATAGGACAGCATATCGCTGTCATCAGGGCACGAAAACATGTCGTCCATAGACATGTCCGGCAGGTCAAATTCTTGACGGCTTGGAGGCGATGCAGGCAACGCCACTTCTTCACGCGTCACGACGGCGCCACAGGCCACTTCGGTGCGAACATCACGACCCTTGGGCACCGCGTCTTCGATTCGCCGCGGTTCTTCGAAAATCGAAATTCGCGCCCGGTCTCGCCGAAAGTCATCCTGACGCTTAGGGCAATCCCACTTCATGTGGTCCACGCCGTTGACGTTGTATTTGCCTTCACAGTAGAAGCACTTGCGGCTCTTTGGAGTTGCCTTGGAAAACGCCTTTCCGGTATCATGACGCTTGTCTTGATTGGCTAGATTTCCGGATGATTTTCGTTTCCCATGGTTCTGATTGGAGGAAAAGTTAGCATTGCTAACCGGAATATCCGGTCGTGGAGTTTGACCTCCCATGGTCAAAATTGCATGTTTCTTCTTTTGACCTACAACTCCAACAAGTTTAGCCTCTACCTCAGCTAGGTTAAAAGACCCATCGTACTTGATTTGTGCACCATAAAACTGAGAGGGTAGTTCATTCAATGCCATGTAAATGATCAAGTCATCAGTCACACTGTCGCGACCAAGGTGTTGACGAGATTGGGCATTGATCAGGTTCTTGAGGGACTTCATCTCACCAAACCATGACTGGATGTTGTCAAAAGGTTTTTGAGCCGTTTTAATTAATTGACCCATATAACCAGTCACAGATGAAACATTCGAAGTGCCGTAGCGACTTTCGACTTCAGACCACACCTCATGCACAGGAGTTTTTCCATCAGTCGTGTCACGTAGCTGCTGGACAAACGACTTCGGTAGAAGACTATACAGGTAGAAGCGAACCTTTTGCTCTGTTCTCTTCCGATTGTACAAGTGCCACCGGTCACGCGCTTCATTGCCAGTCGAGATTATCGGAGGCTCGCAATGCAACCAGTCCTGATATTTGATTTGAGGCTCGGGCAAATGATTTTGGTTCCTTTAAGTAGTTACCAACCATCTCAAGGGTATTCCCTCCAGGTAGCTAACAAGCTTTGGGACCACACACGAAACGAGGACTTCTTTCCGTCGAACACCAGAAGCGCCAAGTCCGAGGTAGACTTTGATGAAGCAGACGAGATCACCATACTTGAAATATCAGATAAATCCAAGCAATACGTATCACGCTAACAAAAATCAATCGACACACACACAAGCAGAGTGGCTCAGTTCGGAGGTGGTAAATTGAGTTGTGAACCATTCATTACAATCCTCGTCACATCACAGCCAAGGCACGCAGATAGCCACTAGATTGTTGCTACAATCTGATTGGCTAAAACATACAACACACGTGCGTATCACATGCAGTCAAAAATGATCATCATTCCCACTGTTTTTAGTAGTACTAGTATTAATACTTGAAGTAGTATTAATAGTTTGTTAACTGTGTTGTGGTTGGAAATCGTAATGCAAGCTCCACTACCTTCATTATTTTATCTAATCAATGAACGTTATGGTTTTGATTGGACATAAATACACTGTGGCTGACATACTTGTCCCTCGTATCACTAATGTTAACCTTGGAGAGGTGCAGTCGTCGACACA